AACGACCTCGTTTGATATTTTACTGGGTAACATTGACAAACGAATTGTTATCTATTTTATGCCAAAATTTTCAATATATATTTATCATAATTTTTTTTTTTTTTTTTTTTTTTCTTTTTTTTTTTCTTTTTAACATACATCTCTCTACACCCACACACAAACAGAGCTTTACACACGTTCCAAAAATTATTTTACAAAAGGTCTCATCCTTCGTCTGCTCTTTTTCCATTTCAGTGGTGGCATCAAGTTTTCAGAGCTGAATGCCGAGGAAGGTGAGTTTCTCTTTTGTATTTTTCTTTCTTTTTTATTAAAAAGTAAAAAGAAACTAATCTCTACATGCATGCTCATTGTTGTACGAATAGCAATTTATAATAATAATTATAATATATATATATATATATATTTGTGTTGTTTAATCAAAACGTTTAGTTTGTTTCTCACTACATTATTTTTATATTTGAAAGAATTAATTTGAAACGTCAACGATCCTTTTATATCGAATTTCACTCCTACGTATTATTTTGTATTTAAATTTATCATTTATACCACTTTCAATTTGTCAAATCAATCAATCAATTCGACAAAACGAAAAATAGATGAGAAATCGTTTAAGCTTATATACATACATTTTTATAATTAAACATCCGTAACAAATTATTTTGTTATCTTGTGATGTTAAATGTATAATAATTATTAAAAAAATTTATTGTAAATATAGAGAAAAAAAAAGAAAGACTAAAAGAAGACACTTTTTGGACTGTTAATGGCTTATACACAATATATTAGTCAAAGATTACATTTCTATTAGTTGATTCTGATGCTGCGAAAGGTTTAGGTGTTGTTGTACGAGGTGTAAAAGCTTTGCGGTTGTATCGATCGAGAACGACTTTAACACACGACTAATTCTATATCTCGTAATTTATACTTCTTCACTTTCTCGTGTTCGTACCTTTCGTTTACGAGACAAAAAAATCACTACCCATCTTAATTTTCCACCCCTTTCGTTATTTTAATAGATTATTTTTATTCTCTAATATTACGCGACGGTCTTCAAAGATTTATAAAAAAAATCGTTCGCGAAACTAAAAGTCAAATCTTTTATTAGAAAATTCTTTTCTCTTTAGCAAGAAAATATACAAAAGCGTTTTTGTTTAATAGTATAATATAACACACATTTTGCCAAGAAATGTTCTCATAATGATCGTTCTTCACGGTTTTCTCGAGAACAACATGTGACGCCAATTTATCCAATCTTATAATAATAATAATAATAATAATAATAATAGTCATTCATTTTTTTCTCTTTTTGTTCATTCGAACCACAGCGAGTGATTTTTTCTCACTCTCTCGATATATTACTAATTATAGATGTTACTAACAATAAGATCAGCTTTAAACTTTAGGTATAGTCGATTGGAACAAAGAGGCCATCTATGCTATTTCTAGACAGATCAATGACACCTTTTAATATATTTTTTTATCATATCCAAATTTTCACAAAGTACTCGATGAGAGAGGTGGGAGAGTAGTAGGATGGTGAGAAAATAAAAAAAAAAATCTAATTAGTAAAGTTGTGAATAGAAATAATAATATAGAAATGTTATTTCCTTGCTTGCTTGCTTGCTTGCGTGTTGTTGATTGAAATCTTTTTTTTCATTCAAATTTCTTACGCTACAAATGTTTTTTTTTTTCTTTTCTTTTTCTTTTTCACACAAATTAAGTATCGTCGTAAAATTTAAATAATCGATTTTTTTTATGCTAACATAATTTCCCTATCGTTTGTTTCGCATATTAATTATATATTTCGCAGTACGTTTTTTTAATTAAAAAATTATTACGACGTTATATATACACATACACACACACACGTTGCTGTTCTCTAGCCCCTCGTATATGTTCTGAAAATGTTTTTTTCTCGCTCTAGTGGTTTAAACAAGAAGAAAACTATGTCGACACGAACGCACACCATCTGGTGATTGCGTAAAAGAAAATAAGGCGACCTGCCAAAATTCTTCATTCGATTCAACTAGAAAATCACGCAATGTGCAATCCTCTCGAGAACACAACTCCTCCTCCTCCTCCTCCTACCCATTATCATTTAACGAACCGTTCATCTGACAAATTTCGTCTCGATTTTTTCCTATTTTTTTTTTCTTTTTTCTCTTTTTTCTTCATTTCCCTTTCTTTTTTCCCCTTAGGGGTTATTGACTATTGCTATTATCATTCTGAAGGTTATTTTATCGATCAGCAATCGGATAAATTTTCCACTTGCTTTTTCTCCATCTCATTTCCATTCCAGATCGATGGGATACCACCCCACTCCACTCCACCCCCTTCTACCCCTGTCTGATTCTTATGAATAGTTGCAACGAGATTGGTATCAGTTTTATGAAACTGGTTTAATACGATCAATATTTTATATCGAAGAAGTACTTTGCTAAAGTAATTAATTAATACGTTTATTATTTGTGCAATTGAAAAGGAATATTATTCAAGGATAACAAGTATCGATCGTCCTCGTTGGAAGAAATACACGTATTGTTAAATAAACAGAGTAATATTGGCACACAGATTTAATTTTACTTTAACAAAGAAATCAGTTGGTAACTGTTACATTTTCTTTTTTTTTTTTCTTTTTTATCAAACACAAATTGAATTTCCAATATTATTATACTTTATACTAAAAATAATGTATCTTTACTTTTTCTTATTTTTTTTTTTTTTTTACATTTTTAAACAAAGTATTAAATAAAAATATATAATCTGTGCCAATATTTTTACCTCGATAAAATATATAATATTAGTAGAGAGTGATATTTTTGTTGTTAACAATTTTAAGATCGACAAGAAGACAATTTTATTTATTTTTTTTTTTTTCTTTTCGTCAATTCTAATATCACAATGTGATTATAAAAATAATATTAAATGACGATCGTGTCGCGATCGATAGATCAGAATTCATTTGATTGGGTTACGCTCTTTCGAAAGTTTATTCCAAAATCATGATTTACGAAAATAACGTTTAACGAAGTGTTGTGACGTTATCTTTCCCATCGAATCCAACTAGTTTCGTTTTCAATAATCTAAACTTTGTTACATAAGAAAGAGAACGTTCGCATTAGTCGTTAATTTCTCGTCCTTGAATCCTATGGATGCATTAATCTGGCTTCCGAAAAAGAGATATTGCATATGCCTGTACATCTGTTGTTTGGCTTCGAAAAGCTTCTTTTCTTTTTCTTTTTATTTATTTTCTTTTCTCAAGATAAAGTTTATGATAGTCGAATTAGAACATTTCTTATTTTAACGGGAGGGAGTATAAACTTGGTCTATATAATCATATAACGTTATAAACAAATCTTTATTTATTCGTTATTTACGTTAGTTAAATGCCAATGAGTGACTAATAATCGTAAACATGGCTCGTAAGTAGTCCAAACTCTGATGAATCATCATTTATTGTTTTATTATCGATGAACAAAATTAATGATTGCAACAATCAAAACTATAACACGGATACAAAAGCTTTGGAATAATATTCTGACTGGACATTCCAACCAACTACAAAATGATTTCTTTAATTGATAGATGTCGAATTTTTATGATTTGTGGTTTGACGATCGTTTGCTATCGTAAGTAGCCAATTTAAAGAATATATAATAAATGAATCTCTGTGTGTTCTTTGGTCTCATTGTATTTTATTATTATCGTCCCATCATTCGCCACCGACCGACCGACCAACTAGCCTCGTCGTTCATTCTTTGGCAATAAACCAATTGTCGATTTATATGTGTGGTGCATTGCACGAGTTTCAAATTAATTTTCGATTTAAAAAGAGACAAGAGAGAAAATCAACATGATTTTATTAATACGAACGACGACCGCTTTTTTTTTATTTCTTTTTTTTTTTCTATATATTATTATACCTTGAATGACTAATCACAATTCTAATTATTTCCATATCTTTACATATATACATATTTATGATTTTTGTTTTTGTGAACTTCGATCTTTCTAAAGAGAATACAAGAAATAGAAAAATACTTATATAAATAAATGTATCTTTTTTTAACCGCGTTTAAAAAAAATTAACAGAAAGAGAGAAAGAGAGAGAGAGAGAGAGAGAGAGAGAAATGTTTTCGGAGTAAGGTGAAGGTCAAAGGGCGAAAGTGTTATACGCGGCTGCTGTTTGGAGCAAATCGATACCCTACTACGAACCAACTACCCTTCCTTCTTCTCTATCACCTTTCTCATCTCTCCGTACTTTCGCTCTTACGAATTTAAGAAACTTTTATCGAAATTTGCGTAATGATATTGTTTACCGTTTATTATACGCACGTGTAATATCAATACTACATATAAAAATAATTATTGTTGAAGTGTTTCGAATCGATTGAATATAATTCGAAAATGCATAGAAAATTTCGTAACTAACAAACCATCGTAATTCTATTGGTGTAATTTGTATGGTTACTCAATATTAGAGGTGACAAAAGATTATAAAAAGTAACGTTGAATATTTCAAAATATAATTCTGTTTATTTAGAAATTATTTCTAAAAGATAATTTCATTTTTCTTTTTTTTTTTGCAAAGAGGCTAATACCTTTGGCCAAGTTTAACGTTATTAGAGCAAGTCTTAACATAATTGAAATTTGTAATTTCATCAATTAAATTCAAGCAACTGTTATATTATTTTTCAGTTCGTCGATAAGTCTTCGAATTATTGGCGTAAGATTTTACTTGCGATGTATGTGTCAGAACTATCTCGAATAAAATATATTATCTTTAATAATAAATGTTATAAAATAGAGAGACAAGTAATTCTACAAATAAAGTAATTCTACAAATTTCAAATATTTTGCGTTTTAAAATCAATTGAAAAATGTGACACTTAATTTGGATGATTGTCTATATTTCTTGCGATGATATGATTAAAGTCGATTGGTATCTTCCGTTATATTAGAGACCTAAGAATTACAATTGATTTATCTGCTCGCGTGATATTTTAAACAATTTTACCGTAACAACGTAGATTGTTTACGTTTGAAGTACATAATAAAAAGTAATTGAAAGATAACGCACAGTGACTTGTGATTTTATGAATCAATTCGAGTAAGAATGTGTTCTCGATACGAAAATGACGTCAGTCTCTTGCTTAAAAAAAAAAAAAAAAGATATTTGAATGATCATCGTTGTCATCGAATTACTTGAAAAAGAACCAAAAAATATTACTGTTACTTAATGTATCAGATAAGCTGAAAGAAACGAAAGTCCCCGATGCTGACTTATCATAAGTATTCGTGATAGACTCATTACAAAATTGACATATCTGATATTTTTCAAATTGTATTACGATAGAATAAAAATATATAATCCAAGGTTTTTTTTTCTTTCTTTCAATTTAAAATGAAACTATAAGATATATATCTATATAATTAGATATATAATCGTTTATTATTATTTATTCTTAAAACTTGTCGATAGGTTATTTTTACACGGACATAAATTATAGATATAAAAAAAAAAGTTATATAATTATGGTAATCGTCATTCTTATTTTCTTAGGTACTTGTCGTATAATTCAAAAGAATGAAATATGTTCGCAATAAAAAGAACATCTTATAGCCAGATGTAATGGCTAGAACACATATGCTTTTGCCAGTTTCATGCTTCTTACATTTGAAACGATTTCCATCACACTAATAGCAGTCTTGTTTTTCTTTACCATCTTATTCCTTTGGTTCGTGAAAGAGAACATTTGAATCTTTGTCTTTAACAACGTAAATATATATATATATACATGCTATCGATATTCGTACAACAATTCGTGATGTTAAACTTTTGTAGAATATCATTTTTATATATGTGTATTTATTTTATTATTATATCTCGTATTTTGTTTTTCAGGATTCAAATTTCAGGAGAATCTCTTACGTACGATGATCCAGATTGAGAATACATTCTTTCAATTAGGCGAAAGTTGCTCAAGAAATTGTCTTATAATTTGTGATCGCGGTGCAATGGATGCCTCGGCATGTAAGTAATTTATATTTATAAAATAACAAAGTGTAAATACATATATATTTGTCTAAAAATGTAACTGTAATTTTTCTAGTTATTTCGAAAGATGAATGGGAATTGATGATGGCTTCAAATGGTTGGAACAACGTAGAATTAAGAGATAATCGATATAATCAGATTATCCATATGGTGTCAGCAGCAAATGGAGCTGAAGATTTTTATTCAACTGAAGATCATGCTTGTCGTTCGGAAGGTGTTGAGCTTGCAAGAGAATTGGATTACAAAGCTGCAGCAGCTTGGGTCGGGCATCCTTATTTCGACGTGATCGACAATTCGCAAGATTTTGAAATAAAACTCTGTCGCATGATCGAATGTGTTTGTCAGAAATTAGGCATTGATACTGGAGATCGATTACGTTCTAGCAGTCGTAAAGTTAAGTTCCTCGTAAAAGGTCCCCTGCCATTAGACTCCGAATTTCCGCCATATCAGGACTTCGATGTCGTACATAACTACCTCCAAAGTAATAATCCAAAAATGCAAGCACGTTTGCGAAAGCGTGGTCAAAAAGGTAATTCCTTTTTTTTTTGTTTTTTTTTTATGCATTAATAATTTATCTATTATTTATATTTTTATTGAATTATCGTAATAAATTGTTATTATTTCTCATGTATATGTATATATATATATATTTAAAACAAAAAAGTAGAAACAAATTTCCTTTTATTCTAACGTTATATTTCTTGATTCAAGGTCATTGGTCTTACATACATACCATCCGAAGACCAAAAATGTGTGGTCAAGTAATCGAGGTAAAGACCCAATTAACCCATAGAGATTATTTAAATATGTTAGCACAACGTGACGATTCACACTTTACTATCTTCAAAAGGCGACGTTGTTTCCTTATCAATAATCAGTATTTTCAGTTGGATATATATAAAGAACCAGCGCATCCTAGGTGAGTATTTTAAAGAAATTTTATTTCGTCTTTGAAGATACGTCTCTATAAAAAAAAATTCGATTTTATTTTAGATGCCGAGGCCTCATGTTACTCGAAACTTATACGGCGTTGACGGGAGACCATTTAAAAAATATCCTACCACAGTTCCTCACTATCGAGAAGGAAGTCACTGGGAATCCTGATTATAGCATGTTCAATCTTAGTTTGCGAGAAGAATGGAATACCACGAATAAATATTGCCACAATTTAAATGGTATGTACAAAAATATTTTCATTTGTCAATTAAAAATTGTTGTACGTATTAATTGCATTTTTATAGGTTTACCGCCAGGTTCTTGGTTGTTGGAACATGAGAGTCTTAATCTTTCAGACATGAAAGATTCTTCCGAGACTAGGAATCAAGTTAATGGAGCCGATGTTAGAATCGGTAGTGTAAAACATGATGTAAATAATGTTATCAACGTAGTACAGAATGGTGTTAGTAGAGTAGCAAACGGAGATCGATATAAATATTTCGATCAGAATAATGTAAAGAGCAATCAAGAGAGTCAAAAACGTACATATGACAGTCCAGCGAAAAAAATAAATGAATTACCACAAGAAAAGAAAGATGACAAACATAATAAGAATGGCTTTCATGATAACGTAAAAGTATAACAGTAACAATAAAGAAAAAAAAAAGAAGGAGAGGGCGAGAGAAAGAGAGAAAAGAGAAAGGGAAAATAATTTCCTAAAGAAAAAGATGTAACATAAATTTGATTGGCATTGATGACTAAATTACACATTATATAAGGACAAATTTACATAAGAAATTTTATTTTTTAATCGAACCTGCGTGTTACACATTTGGATATCTTCCATTAAGAGAATGTATTTAAGGATTTAATCGTTATTTGTTAATCTTGTTGACCAGTCAACAAGTGATATGTCTATCGAAATACCAAGTATTTATATACTTAAGAAAGGTTTCTTCGTCTCCTTAGTTTCCTATGCATCCTTCTATCTAAAGTATTGTCTTGATTCTTAATTAAGAAAATTACTATGAATGATTGTGATAAAAGGTTTATATATATTTATATATAATCTACGACATACAAAAAAAGGAAGTATAATTATTTTAAATAGAACATACAATCAACACATAGTTATACTCTCTTCTTAATAAAATCTTTAGTCGGTTTTTCCAAAGTAAATTACATTTTTTCCAATTAAATGTCTACAAATTGTGAAGAAAATTATTGAAAAAAAAAGAAAAAACACAATTTTCGAGATAATTCTATTGTAACTTTTCAATTTTAAATAATAGCGTTAGAATATTAAATGGTAGCTTAATTTACGGATGATATGTGGTGGTATTAATTATTATACGTATATATGTGACTCTCTTCAGTCGATTGTAATATGCACATTGCTTGTCTAATTATTATCTCCTAGATTAAAAAAGAAAAAAGTAAAAAGGGGTCGTGGAAAAAATACGTTTTAACGTAATATACGGGAATTACGTATTATTTAGAGCATAACAAATTTAAAACTTATAAATACTTAAAGCGGGCACATACCCGTATCAATAGGTTAAAAATTGTACATATATGATTTTACTACTTGTCAAAAAATTTCTGTGATTAATTGCAAAGGTATGACTGAGTTATAGCTTTTATGAAACATCATAATTTATTATATGGTGTATATCGAACAGATTAAGAGTGTCGAATAGTAATGGCATGATGTACGAATCCTTGTTTTTTTTTTCGGTGGAAAAATTAAAATAAGAGTAGATAATAACTGTGATGGCTACACTCTTTGTGCTTATTTACATAGGATGACGTTTACCAAATTTTGCCATTTTTTAAAGATGAAGTGCCTGTGAGATATTCAGTCGCGAAAAAAAAGGAAATTATATATAAATATATATATATTTTCAATGAAAAATGCAATAATAAGTTATTATCACCTATTTCATGTAAAATGGATCCGAACTCATGTTGTACACATTATTGTCTAAATAAAATATCATGTGCCTATCAATTTTGGAGCTATTCTTATAGTAATTTTCTTTTTATATATTTTTTTTAATAAATAAATTAATGCAATATATATATAGAAAGTATAAAAATATTTTTATTTATGTATATGTTACCGTTTCTTTGTGAAATTTGTTAATTCGTGGAATAACTAATTGAACCATAAAATAACTACTGTCCTATTAAAGTATAAAAACAGACAGAATTATATACTTCAACTATATAAATTTATTATACAAGAAGCGAATAATTAATATGAGATTGAAATCTGATCCCAAATATAAGAAAAATATTCTTTGATTACGTTTTAAAAAAAAAAATACCCGCTTATACTGCTATGTTGTGTAAATCTGGAAACACAGAAAATATGTATTTTATTATAGATTAATGAGAAAATAATAATGAGAAGATATATTAAGCATCTATCTTCTGCATCAATCTAACGCATCGACCTTACGCATCGACCTTGTATATTGATCTTGCGCATTGATCTTGCACATCGATCTTGTGCATCAATCTTGTGCATCAATCTTGCGCATCATACCGAGAGCTCGGCCAAATTCGTTCGTTTTTCGGCACCTGTCGGTACAATTAGTCATGAGTCTTCAGTGCAGACGGTTCGTGTTACGGTACTGCTCATTACATTTCTTGTCATATGTTTAATTTTTCAACTTTGCAGCAAGGACGGTGCAAGGATCGTGCATCTAGTTTATCCAGCTCTAGTATATTTCGCATGTTTAACGAGGTGTTAATGTAGTATTTATTGCATTCGTGAAACGACGAGATGTCATTCCTTTGCCGGACGTCGAATATAAAAAGTGCTATTCTTTGTATGGTTTGAAAAATTATATATAAAAATTATACGTAAAGAAATTGTTTATTTTCGATATAGAATAAAAGAACTTCCCCACAATGTGGTGTCTACAGAAAGTAAACAGGCTTTTTACTGCTAAATCCCCTTTCTTTCCATCTTTTGTCTCTACCGATCATAATTGACTTATATTTTTCTCCCTTGTCAGAGTTTCAAGAAAAAACAAGATCTTTTTTTCGAAAGTTATTATAAGAAAGAGAATGTCAATTAATTTTGCTTTATTTATAGATTGTCGAAGCAATTAACTGAAGGCATAATAATCGTGGAATTGATGGCAGACATTACAACCTGTATATTTAATGTAGATAATACGTCAGTAATGCACATTCAGAACAGATTAATTAACATATTGAGACCATACTGCATTAGGTTTATTTAAAGTTACAGGAAAAAATAATACGTCGCAGACAAGAACAACTTTACGTTGATTTACAGTTAGTATCAGATCTAGATAGGCAATATTTTTATTTAGAACTACATATTAATATGTAAGTTTAAAAAATAATACGTATTGTACTGTTATTATAACATAAAACTTTACACGAGTTTTTTTCAAGAGTGCATTTTTCAAATCGGTGACCACGATTACTCAAAAACTAATAAACCAACTTTCTTCAAATTTTGTCATTTTATTTCTTACATAATTAATGTAGACACTGAACGAGCGATTTCTATTTCCATTTTTAATTTATTTTTTTTTATTTTTTAAAAAACAATCGTGTTTTTGATTCATTCAGTCTCTAGAATGTTCATTTTGCTATTCATAATCGCCCAAAATTTTAATTTTAGGGCGGCCCTTACCTAAATACCGTGGACACCACAAGTCAGCACAAAAGATTGACAAATTCTTCGAAGAAGCTGATTTATTGTATTATAAGAATCATTAATTAATTCGTAATATTAATGATAAAAATAAGTGCCCTTTTTTTCACAAATGATCATTATTACTTCTCATAATAAAATTTAATTCAAATGTTATACCAAAGAATAAAAAAATAAGTATATATATATATATATATATAAATTCATTGTTTATAAGGGAAAAAATACATTTCTTAAAAAATATCACTGTGTTTGCATAACAGCCGATGGTCTCAAAGACGGAAGAACTAATAAATCAACACTTATGTAGTTATTGCCACGCAATTTATTGCAAATTTTCCAAAAAATCTCATAATCGTACAAACAATTGTACAAAATATGAGTAAATATTATAACAACACATTCTAATTTTAAATATGCACAAATGTTAATTTAATGTTTATTAATTTATCTATTTGTACATTTCATAATGACAGATTATATCTGACTTTACTGTTTTTAATATTGAATAACCATATTATATTTATAAGGGAGAAACTTTGGACTGTCTGTGACAATACATATTTGATTGCATAAAAACACCTATATATAACAAAACAAACAAAAATTTATAAACTTCGTATATCTTTTTAACAAGTCATATGAGGTACATAATGTAATTATAAATATATTAATAGATGAGGAAGAGAAATAGTATATCGAGATAAATTCTATAGAAGATGCTTAAATATTGGAATATGTGAGCATCTTTTATTTGATATTTCAATACATCAAAACTTTTATATGCAAGAAAAAGCTAATTAATGTAATATGTTTATCAAAGATTACACGTATGGATATATTTTAATGAAGACTCGTTAGTATTAAATGCATATTACTTCATATTATATATACTAAAATTTGATCATATTTTACTTTCTCATACGTGTATAAGAGAATAATGATTATATACGATTAGAAGATAAAAATTATGAAATATTTTATAAGAAGACAAGAAGATATATTACATTTATAGAAATATGTCTCTGAATATCTCTCAACTACAATTGAATAACATTTTTGCAAAAACGATTTGTTGTATACATGATTTCTTACTATATTTATCCTTTTTTTAAGCACATAAGAAGTATTAAATCTATAAATAATATCTAAACTTTGTATACATTACAACCTGTTCTATAAAGATATACCAGTTATTACCTAAAAACACTAGATTTTAATTATTTAAAAAGTATATATATATATAATATGAATTAATAATTAGCATTCTGGAAGCATTGTTTGCAAGTTATCTTAGCTTTATGTTTAATTCCATAAATATTTCTTTTTTTTTTTTATGTAAAAGTCGTTAAAATTTATAAAAATTGTTATTTATGGAAGATAGTTCTTCCAAATATTATATTTAAAGCAGCTTCCTCTATACAACTGTAAACTGAGCTTAGTTGAATTGTAAAATTGTATTTATAACTAATTTAAGTATTGGAAGGACTAATATCTTTTCTTTTTTAAAAGCAAATGACAATAATAATCAGCATTGCTTTTATACTACTATATACTTTGAAATACTAAAATGACTACATTTTGTTTACCTACTAATAGCTTTAGTTTGCTGGGCTTTGTACATTTTTAAGACCTTTTTACTAGGAATTAAGGACTGACTTAATCCTGGTCTTTTTTTACGTTTATTTGTATGATTGTTCTCTTGATCAACATCATTTTCATCATTTACAGAAAGTTGACCATTATACTGAGTTTGACAAATAATGGTTTCTTGCGGAGCTCGTATAGCTTCCAACTCAGCTGCTGTTCTATGCAAATCTGAGTCATGAGCGAAAGTACAATTATGACCAAATCGACATCTGCCTTTTCTATAATTCCAACAAATTTTTCTACCATTTATCATTTTGGTATCATCTAATGTTGGAGTCATTTTGACGTGTTTTTCAAGTATAGCACTTTTAGCTTTTTCAGCTTCAACAAATGGATTAGAAAATACGGAAGTTTTCAAGGTAGGTGTGCCATTAAAATCAGGTGTAGGTAATGGAAGTTTTTCTTTGGAAGCAGTTTCAGTTTGTGTGTCATCATTATTTTCACCAGGCTCATCATCTTCCCCATCTTCTTCTTCTTCCCCTTTAAAACTAAGAGTTCAGCAATATCAGATTACAAAGAACCAGCTCAATTGAAGAGTATGCACAGACTGATCATCAAAATATACAATTAAATATATTTTTATCTATCACTCTATTGTTATCCAAATATTAATTCCCATTTATTAATTATATTTTATAATAATTTTTTATACACATACTCATACATATATATATATACTTTTTTTTTAAATAGATATTATTACTAAAATAAAACTATAGAAGAGGGGGCAAATGAGGAACATACTTAAATGTAAGCGAGTAATAAACGTGGATAAAATATATAGATAACTTAAAATACATGAGAATAAAGAATGAAATGTTTATAGATAGAAAATAAATTTACTGCAAAGATACATGCCAATATAAAAATTCATCTGTATGTTTATATGTAAACTGATTTTCAAATAAGATAATTTAAATGATATTTAATATTATGGATACAATAACTTCATCAACAAATTTTCATGTAATATATATGAATGATTAGAGGTTAGCTAAAAGAGAAAATAAACAATACTGCCTAAATGTAACATTTTAATTTAAGCTTACGTATTATCACCATCATCCGATACGTCATCACCATCACTATCTGAACCCGAGGAAGTTCCGTAATCCGCAACTAAGGAAGCCATAATTCTAATTAATTAATTAACAGTGCAGTCTACAAACACTAATCTAAATGTGACCATTGTGAATTGTTGTGTTCTTCTCGAGTATCAAGAAGGTGTGGCAACAATGGTAAGACGAAATAACGGATGTCGGTGGTGCTGCTGTATTTTAATTGTATAGCGGGAAAGTTTTAAAATTTTAGTATATATTATAGCTATTTATTATATCATTAGCTAATTTTACTATATTTTTATAATTAATTCTATTTACTTGAGTTTCAAATCAAGCCCAATATTAAAATTATCCACTAATGTTAGTTTTAAGTTTTAAAAATAGCACTTCGCAAAATTACAACTACAAATTAATGACGAGTAACAAAATTATACAATAAAATATCATTCCATCTCCTTGGGACACCAAATTCGTGTCTATATCGTCTAAAAGATGCATATATGTTTAGTTAGAGTCAAAAATATCAAAATTTTCGTATTATTAAATTTCCAAGCTTAAATAACTTTCGGTAAATATTAGAGTAATTTTTCTTTTCTTGTTTCGTCTTTAAAATTTTTCACTGTAATCGTATTTTATTCAATTTGCAATTTTTCTTTTCTATAGAATGCAGCTTAAAAGTATTTCATAATAATTAATAGATATTTTTTTTTGTAGTAACTTTTAATATTTTTACTTTTCCTATTTCTTTATTTTTATTTATTTTATGTAAATGTAAAATTACGCATTTAAATTTAATTTTATTGCAACGAATAATAGAGATCTGATCAAAATAATTATAGAATTCAATTGAAAAGTGCATCTGCGAATTGGACGATTTATATGTCAGGCTATTGTATTACTTGTCAGTATGACAAATTTAGTTTTCTTCTTGTTACAGGTGATTATCGTTGGATTTATCATCAAACCTTCTGGATTCTTTTTTATCTGAGTATCTTAAATTGCTTTATTTGAAAATATACGTATAATTAATAATAATAATATTTATAATTTAATATAATAATAATAATATTTAAAATTTTATTACAATAGAATTATACGATTTAACTATCAAAAAATATATATCATATACTATCATATACAATCAAAGATTAGTGTATTCTTTGACAGTATTGTACTTTCATCGCGTTAAATACATACTATCGTCCAATGCTGGTCCCAGTGGTAACAAAAATGATGCTGGGTAAATAAAACAGAGATCTTATGAGTTTCTATATACTTTACCACAAAAAAGTTGGCATAGAATCGCAACAGCAGAAAAAAATAAAAAAATAAAAATATTTACCTACTGTTTAGACATTATGAATGATTAACCTATTTCGTTTCATTACCCTATAATTTGTTACTGTGGAAATCACTTTTAAATATATCCTCTGTAGGTATACCAACTTTATTCTCATTTTTTTCAAAGTGCACTTGCGCCTTGAATTTGTTGATGGGCATGTGTATAACATATCTACCACTCATGACGTCACCATTTCATAATTATTCAAAGTGTAATAATTATAATAATAAAATAAAGTTGAGGAGCTAGACAAATAAAAAGTGAGCAATTGATTGCAAACAAAAAACAATAGAAAACTTCATTGCTTTGCTTTGAAATGAGAAAAAACTTTTTCGATTTTTCAATTATTATTAACTAATTAAATAATTAATTAATAAAGTGAGCAATTATATGGATTTTGATTGAGCAATTAATTAGCAATTAAGAGCACTTATTCATTTTGTTTCTGTTGTTGCGGTTCTATGCCAACTTTTTTGTGCTGAAGTTTAGGTTATCTATACGAATCGTTTTATTAAAACGAATATAATTTTCATTATTCAGTCAGCTGATTATACAAGTGGATACTGTTCTTATGTGTAATTTGTGAAATATTTAAATGATAATTAATGAGTAATTATAATTTTTTATTATTATGTTATTTCCAATTTTTTTTGTATCATTATAATTAAATATTAATAAATATATAGGAGGATAGAATAGAATGGCAGCTCTGATGAAGAAAAGAGTTTTAGCTGAATTTACCCAAAGTCAGGTATGTTATCCATAATCTTTCTATCATTCTGGATATTAGATTAATTTTTCTTTTGTTCATAGGTTATCAATGAGCCACCGTTAAAAAGATTAAGAACTTTACGACTTTCAGCAGCTGGAAGTAGTAAGAATGATGGCGAAGGTAGCTCTACGCTAGCCTATATAGAATGCTTAGAAAAATGTAAAGGTGGCAATGATGCATTACAGCTACTTGTCCGTATATCTGACACTGTGACGTGCATTTCTCCTGATGATGTACCTATAGCAATAAAGAAACTTTCAGAAAGATTTGCTATTGAAACCGAGGCTGCTGTGCGTGCAAAAATATTATGGATATTTGGTGAACTTGGAGAAGTAACATATGATGTCGCTGAAAAAGCTCGTATTGTCAATGAAACAGCTGAACTTTTAAAACACGAAGAGTCTCACAGAGTTAAGAGTCAAGGTTTAGCAACTTTGTTAAAATTAGGAGATTATCAAAGGTGTTTATAATAACATTTATCATTTATAGTGATTAATGAAATTATTATAAAACAGAAATAATATGATCTTAATTTATAGAAATTTGGTATTAAAACTTGCACGTGAACATTTACAAGATACATGGCACGGCGTACAAACACGATGTCTTTCTATAATTGGAAGATATTTGACAGCTAATACTAGCGATGATACACTTATTTTTGTTGGAAATTATGCTCAATCACAAGATCCAAGAGTTCGTGCGCAAGCCTTTGAAACAATGGCAGAATTACATTCTCATAGGGGTTGTAGATTGCCTGCTAGTTTCTTTGGAGAAGCATGCGCTGCTCTTCGCGATGACTATGAAATAGTTAGACGTGCTGTTCTCAAAATAATTTGGCTTCTTGGTATTGAATATCCTGAAAAGTAAGATATCATAAGTAATATAACTTTTTGAAACTTTATTAAATTATTTTTCTTTTACTTATAGCATGGTTGTTGGCTTAGATGGGGAAGATGTACGTATGGTTGATTGTACATTTTCTCAAATTTGTAGTTTGATGGGTGATTTGTCACCACGGGTTAGAGCTTCAGCTATGTCTCTATTAGGTACAATGAAAGGTGTTTCACGACGTTATATTGAACAAGCACTAGATAAGAAACAAAAAGTAGTAGAAGTAGACAGTGCAGTTAGGCCTGAAGTGGAAGAAAAAAGTGGATCTTGTGGAGCATTTATTCATGGATTAGAAGATGAATTTTTAGAGGTAGATGAACATATAAAAAGTTTGTTTTATATATATATATATTTTAGTTTAATTATTAATTTATTATTTATAAATCTTTTTTTAGGTCCGAACAGCAGCTGTTGAAGCACTTTGTAAATTATCTTTAGAACAACCAAGTATAGCTAGAATTTCGTTAGATTTTATGGTGGATATGTTTAATGATGAAATTCAAAATGTCAGATTAAGAGCAATAGAATCGTTAAGAAAAATATCTGCTAGTGTAACTCTTAGAGAAGATCAATTGGAAACTATACTGGGTGCACTAGAAGATTTTTCAGGAGAAGTAAGAGAAGGTTTACACGCTACGTTAGCAGCTAGTCAACTTGCTACTAGAAATTGTCTTCACATGTGTGTCAATCGTCTGTTGGATAATTTAACACGTTATCCACAAGATAGAGAAAGTATTAGAGTATGTTTGGCATCACTGGGAGCTTCGCATCCTTATCTTACTTTACCTTTAGTACCACAACTTCTTGGTCGACATCCTTTCTTTGATACACCAGAACCAGATGTGGATGAACCATCTTGTATCCTTTAATATAATCATAAATAACATAAAAATTCATTTAAATATTTTTATACGATCCTTAATATTTGTAATCAGATGCAAGTGTATTAGTATTGATATTCAATGCAGCATTGCATTGTCCAAGTATGCATGCCTTATTTACAGAACACACTTCTAAGCATTATCACTATTTACGCGACACAATGCCACATTTGGTGCCGAGATTACGTCCAGCAGTAACTAATGGTTCAGGAACGAATAAGGAAGATACCGCTAATGAGGAACGTAGAGATCGTAGAGGAAGAGAATTTTTAGAAAAAATAGTAATGGGTATAGAAAATGCAAGGCCAGGTGGTAGAGTAAATACTAAACTCTTAGAAACTGCAACTATTGATCTTGATCGTCTTGCGGAAATGGATAATCGAATGGAAGGTGCAGCACGTTTTACTGCCTTGTATATTCGATGTTTATTATTATTGAAATCAGTTTTGAAAGAGTTCTCTGTCTCTGCAACTACTTCAATATCAGCAAGTCCGATACCAAATACAAGTAACAATGTTTCTGCCCTACTTCAGCATACGCAAAAGTATATATGTGTTTTAATATTCTTTTTATAACTTTAAATCGTTTATCTAAAAAATAATTTATTACCATTTTTTATTTTTTAATTAAACAGGCTGCAACGATTGTTTAGTGGATTAGGAGAGGCCGAAGTAACATTAGCTAATGATGTGTGGCTGAAGGCTTTAGCTGTAGAACTAGTTCGTGTTACAAGAAGTGCAACAGGCAGTGCTCTTCCATTAGCTCGTTATTTTTTATCAGAAGCAGATTCTTTGCCACAAGATACTTCAAAATTACCGCCATTTTCTAGGGCATTAGTTTTCCAAATTCCAAATTTAGCAGATGTAAAGCCAGGATCTTTGACAAGACTTTTATTACCATTACTTCTTAAACCTTCATTACAGGGTGAAGAAAGACTCCCAAAACCACCTATATCTACTAGATTTTGTCGTGCTATTATCGAAGAGCCTAGAGGAGATGCGGATGCTGCATTAAAGTTTACAGGCGGTCTATTATTAGGCATTCCTCTAACAGCTAAAATATTAAATTTGCGAGATCCTAGCATTTTAAGAGTTAAATTAAGACATCCAGATCAACAAGTGCAATTATTGTTACCTCGACAATCAGATTTGCGTATTCATAACTCTGATCAGAATGATTACAGATTAAGAACTACTGTACTTTTATCGCATCAGGTATGGATGGAAGCTTGTAATGTAGAAATATCATTAGCACTTCTTGTACCTTCAGCCACAGTATTTTCACACGCTCCCTTAGAAGATCCATGTGTTATAGATCTTTGTAAGCCAACTAAAGTTTCTATAGCACCAAAACCAATAAAGAGGGGAATATAATTTTATTTTTTTATGATATTTTATTATGTAATCAATAAATATTTTACATGGAAATATTTTATTTCTTATAATATATCTAATTTATCTCTCTCTGTTATCTCTTTTATTTTATTTAGTTTCTCTTTATTTTCCACAAATGTTGTGACATTAAAATTAGCTTATGGAAATTAATTATTTTATTGAATTAACAGTAAATAAATCGTTTTTAATTATAGTCTTTTTGCAATTAATTTTTATAGAAACATTATATGCAAGAAATAATTCATTTTTACATTTGTTTGCCTCTATGTAATTATGTTTTACATTTAACTTTTATCGCCAATTAGAGAATGAACTTCCCCTGAAACAAAAAAATACGTGCTTCTTTATGATGTATATCATTTCTAATTTTTATATTATATATTTTTCTTAAATTATATGCATTATGTATATATTAAATAATACTTACCCAGAAAATGCAGGTTTTTCAGGTTCTGGAGTCTTCTGAGCTAAACTACCGAAAGTTAAACCACCAGATTGATTAGCTAAAGATTCAAACGTACTGCTACCTGTTGTATTTCCAAATAAATTTGGCATAGTATTTCCAAGTGGCGAAGGACTTCCACCTATAGTAGGAGGACTTCCAAATCCTGATTTAAAAATTATTTATTATATTAATTGATTTAAATTACAGCAAGGTCAACATAAATTAATATTTTACCTCCTGGCGAAGTAGCACCAAATCCTGTTCCTCCAAATCCCATTGAGCTGAAAACTGATTTAGGTGCTTCAAAAACTGGCGATGATCCAAATACAGGTTTAGCACCAAAAGTAGGTGCTTGACCAAAAGCTGGTTGTGATCCTAATACAGATGGTGTACCATTTATTGGACTTCCAAATACAGAAGTTGACCCTGTAGTAGGAATATTACTGGCAGAACTTCCAAATAAAGAGGAAGATCCTGTATTAGCATTTCCTATTGTTGGTGAGCTTCCAAATAAAGATCCAGAAGAATGACTGGCAACCCTCGTTGAAGATGCAGTATTTGTATTAACACCGAATAAAGAATTGGAACCTGATGTTGCTCCTCCGCCTCCAAATATTGAACCTGCTGGTTTTGCGGCATTATTGCCAAAGATTGATCCAGCTGGAGTCGAGCCAAATGTAATAGAAGAATTTCCACCGAATATAGATGTATTCGTGGGAGGATTCCCTCCAAAAACTGGGGTTGTTGATTGAGTTGTAGATGGTTGAGGAGAATTCCCTCCAAAAACTGAGGTTGTTGATTGAGTTGTAGATGGTTGAGGAGCATTTCCTCCAAAAACTGAGGTGGTTGATGGAGTCGTGG